GAAAGTTCGAGGTGCCAATTCTCTCAAGAAAATCAGAGGGGATTAAAGGCCTTCCGAACAGATAATTTACCGAAACGATCCGTTGGGTGCCCCTGAAGGTGATCCCAGCACAAGAACCAGGCAAAAATGAAGACCTATTGAAAAGAGGTGTTACAAGTAGCGCTACGAGTGCTAAGATCCAAGTCGTTTTCAAATATTCAATCTTTCAAATCGAAATAAAATGGTTGTTTACCATTTTCGCAGAGAAACCGGTTCTCAACGGTTTGTGCAAGTGGTAAGCAAAAATCCCTGGTGGTATAAAATTCCGTCCGGATTAGCCATTTACAATTACCATTTACCTAACAACCCCAATTTACCGAGAGAGCCTAGGATGAGTTCGACCTGATCATAATTCCAAGATGGCGGCTGAAACTGGTGAAGAATTGTAAATGGAAAGCACATTTTCCATTCGGATATTTTGGTTAGAAATTTTAGCCTACCTTTCAAGACGTACCACTATTTCTGAAATTTTCCAGTTGGTCGCGGCAAAATCGTATTACCATCTACATTTTGATCGAAATTTTCAGAATTTTTGGGTAAATGGTAAACAACCACTGTCTCTTGTATAAATATGTCAGCCAGTATACTATATCTGGACGTCCACAGAGGCCAATAATAAAATCTCTTCTTTGATATATCCATGAACGATGCCAGAAGGTATTTATTTGAAGTTAAACTTTACTTTCACCAGGTACCGCATTCGCACCTGAAAATGTAGGAAATACATTTCTTATGAGACTTAGAGCGGGTTTCAATGGCCCATTTCCAAATTACCTTTAGCCTCTTTCTCAAAGCGAGTCTTGGTGTCCATCCCTTCATATGAAAATGAGATTTCCATCACATGCAAATAAATTTAAACTCATTTTCATATGAATGTTTGTGTACCAGGCCTCGCTTTGAAAGAGAGGCTTGAGGCAACTCGGAAATGGGCTACTGAGTGTCGTAAAACCAAAACCGAAGTCATTATTCTAGCCAATCACAAAGGACGCAGAAAATACAGTGAACCAATCAAAACTCGAAGTAATTACATGTAGCTGACGCAAAGCGCGGGAAACGAGTGCGAGATTGAGAGCGAGGTAGTCACAATTGGTTTTGGTTTTACTTCTGATTGGATAAAAAAGAGTGGCGCGAGTTTTTTTAAGCCAATCGTGCAACGTAATGACACAAAACCAATTACTATTCAACGCTTAAGTGAAAACCACTCTAATTCCACGTATTCAATGATTCTGTCTCCATTCTCTAACGAGAAATCAAAACGCACAGAACTTTCCAATTTTATTCCCATCAAAAAGTAACTTTAAGTAACTTTATTTATGTGCCAAATCTTCTAGAACCTGATGTAGTAATTGTTGACACTACATAATGAAATAAGTAATACACCTACAGACTTGTTTTATTGTACCTGACCAAACAGAGCGTCACAGAAATTCACAAATTTCCTTTCGTCTTCATAGCTTTCAGATTTCCTTAACGTTTTCGTTAACATAGCAAAATACCCTCTCTGATCGTATTCTTCAGAAGATAGCATGTGTTGTAGTGATTCTTACCTGGTTCGTGTTGTATACTATGTACTCTGTCAAAAAAAAGGAACAAACACATTGATGTTAATGAATGGCATCACAAGAGTCGCGCTACCTATACCCTCCAAAGCAGACGCCCTTTGGTCTTGTAACCCCTTCCTCCAAATCTCCTCCAAAAAGTTTCATGAGCTCTCTCCCCCTCACCAGACTCCAGACTAGGCTGTTAGGGTTGTGTTCTTGGACAAAACAATTTTCTCTCGAACTAACTCTTTCTACCCAGGTGTATAAATGGGTGACGTTTGTGGATGCCCTGTGCTCTTCCAGGGACCATGGGGTAAGGAGGTATACGTTGGAAGTATACATGGGTACCGGCGAATTTTATTCTCAAAGAGGGCCGGGGGGCGCTCCGCGATAGACTAGCATTCCATCCAGGGGGAGTAAGGAATAGAAATACTTCTAAGTCGTTTGATGCTACAGAAACCAGGATAAGCCCTACTAGTATGGGACACCCTGATTCTTTTACCCTCTTACATCATAGTGACAGAGAGCTAAGAACCATGAGCCTTTCTACCAGAAAGTTATCACCTTTCTTTTTCTTTTTCCGGCAGTAACTTCGTAAAATTCAGTTGGCATTGCGTATCTCTCATAGCAACTAGACTACGATCCTGACAAGACTGCTTCCTGGACATTAAACGAATACAAATGAAAAAACGCCAAATCAAGATACCGTTATAGTTTAGTGTGTATCCACGCGGGTTCACTACTCCAGTGTCAGTACTTTTACCAAAAGGGACAACAACTCCGTCTGGCCTGAAAAAATAAACCAATCACGAAGATTTGTGTCGATGAGAAAACTTCATGAATCATTCAAACGGCGCTCATTTAAATACGTCAAGAATGTTGCCAGCTACATCCGACCAACCATTCCCAAAGAGAGAACTAATTAAAACTGCGCGAATTGCAGAGTGTCGAGTTCTTGATTTGACGTCACATTAGCCACTAGACCCATTCCCCTTTAAACTCGGTCGTGAGCTAAGATGGCGGCTTTTTAGTGCGATTTTCCGTATTTCGACTGGGCAAAGAAAATCGAGGATTTAACCGAATCGAAAAAAATATGCACAGGAATACTCCTAAGAATTAAGCTTTTTTTAGCGGAAAAAAAATTGGGGGGTTAAGTGCACTTTGATATTCATCTGCTTTCCTTAAACAGAGTGACATACAAAGAAAAACCAATACACGAAGTAAAATGTTCAATGGCGGTAAAATCATATGACTTACAATGTGTAAGAATCCTCTGCATCGGGCGCAACTCGACCCAGGCCTTTGACACTTTGGCAGTCAGCTGGTAACTTGTCAGCTGTGTAATCTGCAGCCAGTAGCTCGTTACACTTCCCAAGAGAAACCTGTAAGATAACACAACGTGGAAAACAGCTGGTTTTTGAAATAACTCGGTTAATTAAAAAAATGGCATATTGAATTAGCAAGAACCGCGCCAGAACGTAATTTATATTAAGCAGTTTTGGATAAACTGTGAAAAATAGAAATGACTCTGTTTTGTTTTTCATTTGTAATTATGAAGTTCTTAAAGGACAACGGAAGGTTAGAAATTATATTTTATATGACCATTGAAAATTACTACGATTTTCAGAAAAGTAGAGAATTCTTCGTACCAAAATCGAAGAAACCAACCAAAAACCCCATCGTCATCTTTCGAAATTGAACGGCCACCATTTAAAACACCTTTTCTTCCGGTTTCTTCCAACCGCCACGTTGTGACGTCACTGCACACAAGCAATTTTCTATGTCTAGATATTTTCTGTGTGCAGTTTGCTGAAACAAGTCCGCGACTTTTCCCGCTTTTTCCTACGCCTGTAGCAAGAAGTTAACTCAACCTCTTTGACAGGGTTGTGATCGGTTTGACACAATTAGTACAGCGCGTAACATTTATGACGTCCCGACACTAGTCAAACTAGAACTTTGAGCTTGGCTCAAGTCTAAGGAAAACAATGCAAAGACGTTTTCTACAATAACTGCAAAAATTCTCGCGCGCTCATTGGCTAATTTTCATCGTCAATGAGCGGACAGACACATGAATTTATTTTGTACGATGCTTCAACGAGCGAGAGCGGACAATTTGGCAATTTGTTATTGTAAAAAAAACAAATTGACATCAGCTTTTCATGGATCTGTCCTGTTACTGACTATGAATTTCGTCATAACATTGTCAAAGTAGTCTACAGATCCACTCGGCTGTCGTCTCGTGGATCCACAGCTACTTTGACAATGTTATGACGAAATTCATGATCAATAACTGGACAGACGCATGAAAAAACTGACGTCAATTTGATAAACAGGTGTTAAACCAGCTTTACCAACCTCACTGAGTAAAAGTATGCCGACATTCTTTGATCTTGTTGCGAAGCAATAGTTTGCACTCTTTGATGACATGTCAGCAAAGTAGATACCCTTTCCAAACTACAACGTAAAGCAAAGCAAAAATCAAAATCTCTTCTCTTACAGCTTCGTCAACCACAGTCTACTATTCTGTACCAGGCGATAAATTTACTTGAAGAAGACTCTTTCCTTAAAATGAAGTTACCTTTCTCACCGCATGATCAACGCCACGAAACTCGTTAACAATTCATGTACGTTGGGGAGTTGAAAAATTTCTCAAGCGAATGCGAGTATTGTTAATACCACTGGAAAAGATGATAGTGTATCGCAAGTTAACTCCCGACCCCACTAACATTAGAGAGCTTACGCTAAGCAAGACGGCAACGGCAACGAGAATGTCACCAAACGAAAGTTTTAAAGAGTACAACAATGGTTGTCCACGTGCGTTATAACTCTTTGTACATTTCATAGCCGTCCTCTGCAACGTGACGTGAAATAACAACGTGAAGCAGCAACGTGAAATAACAAAGTTCTGGGTATTTCCTTAACGTACTTAGCTTGAGCAAGTTTTGAGACCGATAGGATCTAAATAATTGCTACATTCGAAGATATCGTACAAATTCAAAATTTTTTGCTGCGCGTTGTCTTCAGCGTCGCTGTCGTCATTGCGCAAGCTCCCTAATTATTTTGTCAGGGGCAAAGACAGTAGAAGAATAAAATGGCTTGGGTATTACTGTCTCTGTCCTAGAAGCCTCTATCTGTTCATGATCGGTTAATTCGACTGTTCTTACCATGTAACCTGTCACGGGAGCTTCTGGGGGAGCAATCCTCAATCCCTGACTTAAAATGCCAACCCAGTTTGTTAAACGTGATCCGTGCCAAAGAAGCATCCTGAACGAACAACAAGGATACGGAGAATTGCAAATCAGAAAGACATATACTTTGCTGCTCAGCTAGTCGAGCAACCATTTAATCAAGAAATCTCCAGATCAGCTCTAAAGGAAATGCCAGTGGAAGTTAGATTACTGAACTAGCCAGTGAAAATTTCCACTACTGAAGAACTACCATTCAAGTGTGAAGGTGAATTAATCAACATGACAAGAGCGTGGGAGAAAGGAAAATTCTGAGTCCCCGACAGGAATCGAACCCATGACCTTCCGAACACCGGGCGGGCGCTCTATCCACTGAGCTACGAGAACTCATGGAGAGCAAGGTCATTTAACTGAGTTCATTACCGAGCTTAAAAATTCACCATCTTTATTAACTTATCTCTACCATTCAAGTGTTCGCACTTAGTTTTGGACGATCTCTAACAAGATACGATACATTCTGGCTGCACGCCTAGGAGCCATTCAATGTGATGTTTGGATATCTGATCTTAATCAGCATGTAGTTTTAGTTTAACGATCTTATTTCTCCGTTTTCTCCTTAGCTTTAATTTCGATTGAGAAGATATATCCAACACTCAAGACAGTGTTTGACCACATTTCTGAACACCTCAAAAAAAAAGGGGTCGAACACGGTCTTTCGTGCGAAACGACGCATCACGCATGAAAACAAGGTTGTAACTTACTTTTTTAGCACCACTGTCAGTTTGAAATGTTCTTCTTATAATTCCCAGTGGTCAGAAAATCTTCCCCTAGCAAAATAGCTGTTGAAGCGAAAAATGTGGAAAACTTACCTATTTCCCACATCAGTGAAGGTTTTCTTCTCATGTTCCAGTGCAAACACATCCAGCAATTCCATGTGATATTGATTGTGAGTTGTAGCATGAGTATTCTCCAGATATTTAGCAATCATCTTCAAGAACAAAATGTTTTCCAAGTTATTTGCAAAATATTTAAACAGTTACTTCTTTAACTTTTTTTGTTCCACTTTATTAAGTCAATTTTGCAAAGTTCCAAATAATCTTCAAATTGAAGTAGATAATAACTGAAGCATTAGCGACAATAATGACCTACTATCAAAGGCACAAAATGTGTGTGAAGGTCTTATAAGCTTACAGGCCTCTATGTGCATTACATGCTTTCTGTTCTCACATCTGATGGTCTGGACCCCATAATGTTGACTTTTAAAGTTTTTTTCTCCAAAACGACGGCCGAAGCCAGAAAGGAAAACGTTGACAAGTTTTCCCAGTATTAGTAATTAAAGGCTTCGTGTAAGGAAAAACAGAAAGCAGTGTTCAGTGTGAATACCTTGAAATCATTATGCTCATGATCAAGTGGTGTCATAGCACAGTGCAGTGTTTTGTAGTGCTTGTCCACTGGATGTTCAAGAGATTCCTCCTCATCTTGTAAGGCTTTGATAGCAATCTGGATATCCCCCAAGGCCTAAAATTGCCAGTCTCCATTAAACAAAAGTTGCAAAAATTTAATAACACTTTAGTGTTAAACAGCACTTTGTAGTCAGTCTAATCAGACTAAACAACACCACAGACAGAACTACATTGCCAATTGATGCCTGGCAATTGTTATAACACGGTAAGCATTTATTAGTCATGTACACTGTAATAAATGAACAGTAAGAAGGTTCATTTTATCAAAAATGCACTTTTAGAATCCTTCAAGCGACCAGTTTTATTCTGTTTTGTTGTTACAAAGTACACAAAAAAATCAAGCAAATAAACAAATAAAGCCTTAATGATTCAATGTAGCTTTGCTATTTGGATGATCCCAACTCACTCACTATAGCTATTATGACAGTGTTATATTTATTCTTTATTTAAAATGTGTTAAAATGTGATGATATTTCTATATTGTGTTCTGTGCACCACAGGTAACTGACCTGAGTTAAATGAATAATTTTAAAAGTATGATTTTTTTGTAACATGCCTCTAACAAGTCCAACTTGATCTTGACTTCCTCTGTCGTTCTTATTAGTGGTGGTCTTTTCATTCTAGGGAAAGAGTAAAAATCATGATGTAAGTCAGGAGGGTTGGACAGACAGACAGACAGACAAATGAATCCACACAAAAGGCTCTAGTTTTATAAATCTCTGAATGCACTGGGTGCCTTTCATACTTCAGTAGGTACAATTTATTTTGAAAACCAGCTTTTAAGGGACTCTTTAATTCTTGGTATTTCCAAAATTGTATCTGAGACATACCCAAAACAATGAGGAATCCTTGTGTAAAATTCATCACATGCTTTCACCAGTTTAGAGCCAAAGTCATTGTTTCTGATGCAGGTATCAATCCTCTTCAATGCCTCATAACCAGCCTTGATCTGATCTGTGGTAAGCTTTCCTATAAAAAGTGATTGAGTTTAACAATATTACATTTCTGTCAATGAATGTAACCTTGACTGATCAAACCCAATGTACTACCCAGTAGGCCGCCCAACACCCATGATGTAATGCCACTTTCTCTTACTTTATATATGAACATCCTTTCTACTTTTTTTATGGGAGCAAAAAGATTTGAAGCTTTTTTCTAAAAATGTAGCAAATTGAAGGTGGTGCATGTTTTAAGGAGACAAGCCACAATCAAAGAGAACAATGGTGTCAGGTGTATCAACTAAATTCCTGAAAGTTAACCCATTATCTTTTAACCATGTTCTCTTTACCAGGTCAGAACAGCTTCAAGTAGGGCTTGAAAAAAACACTAGTCAGAATTCCTGCTTGCCCTTTGGACCAGCGACTCACAAATGGAAGGTATGTGCTTGCCTAAGTTTTTCCACTTTTTTCTTTTGTTTCAAAATAATTATAATTTAGCCAGCAGAGAGCTTGCCTGGGTTCTTACCCATCGGACAAGTGATAACAAAACGTTACTTGCCTGACTGGAAAATCTACTACATGTACATGGGTCCAAGGCAACCACACAGCACATTTTTGAGCCCTGGGTACCCCTTGGCCATTCCTTGGGGACTGTTTGAACCTGTTGTAATATTACTTCATAGGAAAATACATGATGTTAACTAACCAAGAGGTGCTTTCTTTGTATCATACTTCATCTCTTTCAGCATCTCCTCCATGGCCTGTACATTGCAAATGAGTTCTATCAAGTTCTGGATTCTCTTGTCTAACTTGCTTTCTAACACAGGTTTTTCTTCTTTGATGGGTGCATCAACAGCATCCTTCTCCTCCTGATCAGCATTGTAGTCCATGATCAGAAGGTCATACTTTCCTGGAACTTTTTGAAAGTTTTGTCTATCTTCCCAGTGATTTTTTGTTTTATCTGTGAATCTGAGAAAAACATATTTTACAGCATATGATCATAACATGCACTTCTGAAAAGTAATCCTTGAAAGACTAATTAAGC